TTTATATGAAGACATTTAGTGTATACCCGCCCGATGTTAGAATTCTTGCGCTTGATAGGGTCAGCACTGGTAAGTGTTCTCATTGTCTGGTTCCAAATTTTAAGATTTTCTAATTATTGTAATTGGCTAGCTCTCCAATATTATATGCCATTGAAATTTTACCACTGATAATTGAAAGTTGCTGAAACGATGTACTGCCTTGGACTGTAGAAATTTAGAATTTGATTACTTATTAATTTGGAAATGTATGTGAATAGTAGTGAGTATGACATCATTGGAGTTTCAGCAAGAAACTGTTGACAGTTACAAACAAAATAGAGTTATTACAATTGTACAATAAAGAATTTATAATTTTCCTCGAATCCTTTCTCTGTAGTTTTCAAGTGACCTTGTGCTACAATGATTAGTTCTACACCTCTTGATACTAATGCTATCCAATTTTCCGCTGGCAGGAAAATTTACAAAAGCAGCAGCTTATGTCAATAAAATGCACTAGTCAGGTAAAGCATTGCTACTTTTCTGACATGAGAAACTTTTTTAAGGTGTTATTTAACTTTTTTGAGGTGTTATTTACTTACCGGTACGATATTGGCAAACATTCTCATCTTGCAGTTCCAAAATGGGTTGCATATACCCTTCAGCATGAATGCTGAGCAGCAGCTCCAGCCTTTGTCATGGATTCCGACTAATGAAAGCCGACATATAGTTTTACCTGAGGACGCGACCTTGCTTCCCCATAGGTGAGTGATTGTTGGGAAGTACATACTAGCTCTCCTAAGAATTTTTGTTGTGTAAGACGGAAATATAATTGAAAAGAAACGCAACATGTTATGCGATAAGATGACGCTCTTTATAACATAGAACGTTAAAAGGCTCCCCCAACTAATTTTTTGTTGATTAAAAATCTACGAATTTCATCTAATGGTGGATTGCCTTTATCTCAAAAGTGTTACTCAGTGAAATTATTTCCTGTTATAGGGATATGGAATGCTCAGCAAGTTCCTCCTTTGGTAGTTATTCTGGTTACCTTGGCACAGGAAAAAGTCCAGAGATTTCTACTTCTGGACAAGAAAATGGTATTCTAAATGACTTAAGCAGAACCGCACCGCTGAATCTACAGCTGGGTGGGCACATTCCCTATCTTCCGTACAATCTCAATATGCTGACTGATACGAAATTCCAACCACCGGCAGAAATGAGTCCTCAAGAAAACCCTGTTGAGTATCAAGTTAATGGAAGCTTTGAAGCTCCTAGACCTGAGTTTTACCCCACTCAGCATAATTGGGCTTCTACATCTGGTCCTTGTGCAGTTACCATGTTTGACGAGCATTTATATTCCCAGGTCAGTTTCTCTTCCCCGATTTTCTCAATAAATTTTTCATGCTTGTTACTAGCATGTTTTCCTTTGCTGGAGTAGCGAATTACGTAAAAACTAGACATTGGTTATTATAACATTGTTTTCTCCATGTATATTATTATACTGTTAATGTGATTTTTCTTTCAGCTACAATGTAATCCAATTTATTTTTCTTCAGAGATAAACTGCAAAGTCAATTGTTTTCCTCCCCATTGCGTTAAACCTGCATATTCCACCTTAGAAAGCATCTCTGTATTATGTTGACATTGCCCCGTTGTTGCAATGTTTTGTCCTACTAATTGGAAGGTTTACTTCTCTGTACTGTATTGAAATCTTAAAAGCATCTCTATTGCTTGATGCAGCAGACAAACTGAAGTCCATGGGTGCTTTTGTCGTTCATCCACCGATGGGGAGTTGCTGGAGAAATCCAACTGAATGCTTGAAAAACATACTCATCCATCAAGGTTTTCGCAGTCATATATTTTTTTTGTCGTGGTAATATAGAAGGCAACCACCGAGTGTACAGTGCGGGTTCAACACAAAACGGTCCTATCATTAGTGATTAGTCCCCCTGCGAGAAGAAACGACGGTGCTGATGCGCAAAGAATGAAGCACCAAAAATATAATGAGAGATCTTCTGTGTTTTATATATATAGAAGTATAGGTGTTCTGCTGAGTTTTTTTTGCTCCCTCCGCCCCCTTCATGTCTTTGGCTGTCAAGGTTTCTATTGGCAGTTTAGGACATTGCCTTCCCTTGCTTGGACCTGGATTGTCTGCCCTCCCATTTTGGTGCCCTTCCTGTGCCCTCCTATTTTGTGTGGTCACGGTTAAGTCACGTCAACATTTTATATTATTTTTTTATAAAATGTTGACGTGGTTTTACCGTGACCACACAAACAGGAGGGTACGAGAAGGGCACCGAAATGGGAGGGCAGACAATCCAAGTCCCCCTTGCTTCCCCTCTCAGTAATCTGAGCTGTAAATAAAAGTACATATAAAAATATACAAAAACCATAACATATTGGAAAATTTTTAAAATTCCATTTTTTTGTGTAAATTAATGTCTGCTATTTCTTGTTGCTGTCTACACACCGCAAAACATCAGCTGGAACCACAAAGCAACTATACCAGGTTTACACGGTCTCGTATCGTCCTTTTGCAAGGCCATGCTAATCTTCTCTACTTCGTTCCAATTTTACAGACGATATGGTTTTGGTTTGCACTTCTAAAGCATGAAAAATGTTGACTAAAAATTAAACAAAAATGAAAAGTTCAAAAAATTGTTTAAAATGGAAGTAGTCGAGGATCTGTATTCAAATAATATTTGCCCAACAACTACATTGCATGATGTTCATATATGATTCTCAAAGTCAACCATTTGGGTTAAACATGCCTTCCTCCTAAGCAGACGGACAACTGGAACGTTTTTGTTGTGATCAGGGAATTAAGAACCACTACCAGGACAGCATATGAATCCTTCTTCTCTTCCTCCTCCTCAAAACATTGTACGTACGACATGTTCTTGAGCTTCAAGGGTGAAACCACCTCCACAGGTGTTAAAAGATGCCGGAATCAACGTCTTTAATGGCGACGAGGAAATTAGACAAGGGCAAAATATAACAGCCGTACTGGCGCAGGCAATCCAAGGGTCTAGGATCTCTGTCATCGTCTTCTCGAGGAGCTACGCAGCACATCAACTTGGTGTCTTGAAGAGCTTGTGAAGATCATGGAGTGTAGAAGAACACTTAAGGCAAATGATTTTGCTAAAATTCAATGATGTCAGATGAATTTCTAGACTCTAGCTACAAATTGCTAGAAAAGTTACCAAGGTTCTAATTCTATATCAATCGTTTTGCCGTTGAGGTCGGAACCTGGCAGGCTGCACTTACTCGTGAGACAAGGCAAGTGCTTGTTGTGTTTGCAAAGCCCCATTCTTTGAAATTTAAATAGTACTTAAACCAAATATATAGTGAGTTATTCAGTTTAAGTAATTTATGATAACCGAATGGATCGTAAAGGCCTAGAAAGTATAAAAGTTTACACGATTTAAAATCTAGAATGCCCACATGTATATAGTAAAGATTCATATGCTAAATAGTGAAGTTTTTGTAAGTTTTCATGGTAGTTACTCTATAAATAGAGCACTACGAGTGTTCAAAACAGAATATACAAAAGGAATAAGAAAAGAAAGATAAGTTATAATATTTTCTACATTCTCCTATTTCTCTTTTTCTTGCAATCTTTCTGTTATAGTTAATACACAAAATATTGTGATATATTACATCTGCTTCACTCTCGTTCTTAGCAAATGTTATTTTTCTAACTTTTACCTATTTATAACACTAATCTTTTATTCATTTATTATATAAAAATGAATGATCATTGAACACACAAAACTAAAATAGTTACGTATACACGTAAACCGCTATTATTCCGTGTTGCTGTCTGTCTATATACACACAGCAAAACATTTAAATGAAACCACAAAAAAAAAAAGTTGGGTATGTGAAGTTTCCTGCATAGATTCTCCTCTGGTAAATCTTTTGTTGTTAACTGGTATGAATCTTTGAGGCAATCTACGTTGAAAGGGACATGGAAAGCAAAGGGACAATGGATGAGACGTTGAAAATTTTGAGATATGAAATGTCTGTACAGATGTTTTACTCCAATTCATGTAACGTTGTAACCCAATCAATTATTCAGTCCCATCACACAAAATTTCTGCTCACAGACTTATTAAATTGCCTTGTGAAAATAGCTAGGTGTAAAAGATGAAAGTAGGGCAACATGACCGCGTGATTGGTTAGATCACTCTCACAAATAAAATGGCCCTTCATTTTAGGGTATCATCCGCCTCATGGGAAAAGGATCATCACCGGATCATTTTCCTAAGGATTCTGTGATCTTATCCGTTCATCGTATATCGTGCAGTTAATTTTTATTAGATATTATTCATATTTAATTTTAAATTTTAAAATGATTTATGACCGCATGATGTATGGTGAACATGTAAGATCACGGGATCCTTAAGATCTCTAGGAAAATGATCCCTCATGTAGCTACAAATTCTCAACGAACGGTAACCCACGCTTTTTGAGTGGCTAACCAAGTAGTTAGCTACGTGGTCGCCCTATTTTCTCTTGTGTTGGCACTTTTGGTTTAGGGCTGGCCCGTGCCAATATATTCCTATAGCCACACATGAAATTCAATCTCGATCCCCATTTCCTTCATTCCTTGCCATCCCTAACATTATATTTTTCTAACTTGTTACCATTGCCAATTACTTCAACTAGACAATGTCTACATGCTTTTTCTCTCTTGTTTATAATTTGTTATTGCATCGAACACAATCTAGAAAACTCGTTACCAAACCTACTCATTCAGGGAACTATGAATTTGCTTAGTCTTGAGAGTAAAGGTTACTTTGTAAGTAATTACAATTAGGGGAATTATAACTTGAACGCTACAAAACACACTGCTTTAATCAACTGGTATAACCTACGTCTATATTATTTTACTTTTTTTTTATACAATTTGATTTAACTCACACGTATGCATTATTTTTCTGGTTTCTTCATTGAAACAAGCACAAGTTAGATGAACAAAATGATTGATTATTCGCAAAAGGTGAAATAAGAAGCAATAAATAGTAAATTGGCAAATCCATTACTTAGTAGAAAAAGGAAAATTTACATTTAGTCCTTCAACAACATTCAAACATAACAACCAAGGACAATACTGAATTAACCATCAACCTCAGCTGAATTACAATAATGCCCAACAAGCCCAAAATGCTAGTAATATTTCAAAACACTAATGGCGGGTGGTCAAAGTCCACCACCTCAGCCAACTTCTGGTTTTACAAATACCACAGAAGTAAAAAAGAAACAATACCCAAGGAGTTAGGGTCCCAAAGATAGTAGGGTACCCTACACCTAAGACACATAGAATTCAAAAATTAAAACTTGATGGGAGAGCCCTTATAAAATAAGCCCTACTCACTTTTGACCGCAGAGGCCAAAGACCTTGACTGAATGACTCAGTGACTCAGAATACTAACTAATATCGTAGTATACTTAAGAGTCGCACTAATCTTAATTATACTTCAGTATATATTTAATGACCTAGGAAATGGCTAAATATGGAGGGTAAATTAGGAGGTGGCGTGGGGGGTGCCCTAGCGGAATTGGGCACCGCTGTAGGTCTGCCCAAAGGACCACCCAGCAGGGGCAGCATTGTAGGACACAACAGTCCTGCCGTCACTGGTTGTGACCTTGAAAGAGAGAGCTTGGCCATTGAGGTAGCTGTTGGATTGCCAGTTTTGCCCCCAGTTTCGGGACATTGCTTGCCAGCCAGTTCTGGACCCTTTGACGGAAACAGAGTGCACATCACCGGCACCACCAACGTTTGTGATAAGGACCAGGTTGAAGTAGGAGTGTCCGTTGATTGTGAATCTGATGCCTCCCCTTCTCCTGCAGGGTACCCTACAAAAACCCAACAAAATAAAATTAGATAAACACCTCAATTAGAGAGAGAAAATTTCACATATATTTGCATGTCATGCACTATCAGATTCTTAGCCATGAAATTCCTTTAATGCCCTTCTTTCATTTCGAGGATTTTTTAATTATGAAATTCTTCTAGTGCCCTTCTTCCAATTTTTTTTTTTCATAAATATAATGCAATATTAAAAGACCATGATAAAATCCGGACCAGATCCTCTCCTGAGCAATTCCCTAGGGATCTTAGGGATCCCATAATCTTGTCCGTTCATTTTATATCGGTCAGTTTTCGTTAAGTATTATTCATATTTGAATTTTAAAATTTAAATTTTAAATGATTTCTGATCACACGATATACGATGAACGGACAAAATTGCAGGATCCCTAGGATCCCCAGGGAATTGCTCAGGAGAGGATCCTTGTCCTCTCCTACTAAATTTTAGTAATTTTGATAAGAGTCCACAAAAAATTTGCAATTTTGAGAAAGAACCCACAAAAATTCTCATAAAATTAATGATTTTTTGGGATAAAGTATGAATCTTTAGCTCTGAAATGTTGAAATTTAACTAGGGTTTTACCTTCTGTAGGACACAGGCACAACTCCGGCTTTGTATTGGGCAATGTGCTGGAAGACAGGCTGAGAGAGGTCGAAGTGGTGCTGGGGAGGGTTGCACCAGCCGCCGGCATTGTTGGGGAGGGCGTTGTTCGGCGGGCAGAAATTGGTGGCGGTGACCACAATGGTGCCCGGCAGACACCATTTGGGGTCGTTCACACACCTAATCTGGTAGCAAGATCCACACCCCAGCCCATTGTTGAACAGAGCAGTACTCAGCGCGGCCGTATTGGTTCCGTACCCCTGGCTGTAGAGGTTGCCGTAACCACAAGCTCCACCTTCAAAAACAAAATCCCAAAAATTCAGAAGTCAGAGGTCAGAAAGGGCACTTAAAAATGGTAACATTAAGTAAAAATGGAATCTTATGCTGTTTTGGTGCATACCCATTGTGCCAGAAGCGTCACCGCCGCCGTAGAAAGTGGCGCGAGCATTAACCCACCCGCCTCCGCCGTAAGCATGCGCAGAGGCTACCAACATTGCAAGAAGACCCGCCATGAAAAACCCAGATGAAGAAGCCATTTTCCTGCATGCAAAGAAGTGAAACCATTAAGCATTTTAGAAAAAAATGCAGCTTTTTTATTGGAAACCATTAAGCATTTCTAATTAAAATTTGCAGAGAGAGAGGGACAATATTATTACATTTGGATTGGAAACGAATAAGGCTTGAAAAAACCAGGGGAGAGGAAATGGGAGGAGGCAGATGAGTGAGGAAAGTGGGAGGGGTTAGGCAGGATTATATAGAACTTTTGGGGAGGTAGGGGAATTTAGTGTTTAGCCACCATGGCCACTGAGCCACTGAGCCACTGACATAAACTTTTATTTTTTAATATATCTGTTACTTAAGATGTTTGGGGAGGGGACCATAATCTTCTAGGGCTAACTGGTTTTGAAATAGTTAAGTTCTGATTTGATATTGCTGTGCATTGAAAAAAAATTATTTATGCTTTAAGTTTATTTTTGTTCTTTCACGTTTTTATTTTTTTCACCCAAAATTAAGAAAATAAGCTGTTTTTAAGTATTTAATAAACATTTTCTTTTAACTTAGCTTTTTTTTATACCTATTTTTTATAAAAGTATCTCAGTACCAAATTAGTACTAAAACCCAAGACCCTTTGGGATGGAAGGGCAGTTTTGGAGGACAAACCGTGTGGTTTTGTGGGGGAAATTTCCCAAATGCAAGTAAGATATGGTGGTTTTTTGGGGTGTTCTTCTGTAGAATCCATACCTCACGTGCAAGCATTGGCCATTTGCCGCAAACAACCTTTTCCCTCTTTTGTTCGTTTTCCATGCTTCTCTCAGCTTTTACTTTTCCTCCTGTCTTTTCATTATTTAGATTATCAATTATATTTTTCTTTTTACAAAACAATATTTAAGCGAATTTAGTTTAATGAAAGAGATAAGAGAATTCGAACTCAGACGTAGCCGCGTAAGAGAGATTGTTGTTAGTTAACAAGCTTAACCAACGTCTAGTATAATTCATGGAAATGAACTTCGAACACAAAAAAAAAGAGGCGAATGGATTGCTCTAAGCCAACGTGACTAACCTACATATGAATATTATATTTATTGTATTGGTTTTTTCCTGAAGGAACCCATACTCACCACAACAACCATTTTTAAAGAGCTTAAAGACTTTTGGTGAACTGGGTTTTCTTGCTTCGGACAGAATCTCTTTTACCTAACAGAAAATTAACAACTTTATTTAGATTATTGCAGAACTGAAATGTGCATGAATAAAAATTTGCAGGGAGATTTTATCTTGAACTTGCTGTCTCAATCAGAAAAGAGAGGGAGGGGAAGGGGGAGGGGGAGGGGAGAGAGTGAGAGAGATGTGTTGTGTCTCTGTCTCTCTTGTTCTCCCTTTCTCTGCAATGGCACACATTGAGACACACATCTCACACAGTTAAAGAAGCTTTAATTACATAGCCGTTTATTAGGACCTGGGGCAGGAAGGGAGGAATTCAATTCCCAAATCTTTTCTGGTAAACGAATTGAATGAGCATTTTTTACTCATGAATCCATGAGTATTTCATCCTTTTTCGTTAAATGGCATCTCTTCTGTAACAAAATAAAAAATGAACTTTAAAGAAAAGTTCTCGCTACTGTTCATTTTAATGAAAAATTACATTTTTATACTAAAAAATCAATCATGTTATTATTCACTTTACCCTTTATTTTATCATTATCGTTAAAACTCAAAGTTTTCAAGATATTTTCATTAGTTTTCTTAATAAAAAAATCATCGTCAGTTTATACTTTGTAAATATTGAAAGAATAATTTACATAAAACGAGTTAATTGTTATTAAGCATTACTATGTATGCGGAAAAAATGAACAAACAATTGATTATTGAGATGTTATATAACTGGACACGCTATATAACGGTGATAACGTTACATATCATATATAATTTCAAATTACTGTAGTCGTCCGTTCGTTTTCAAGTATGTTGGGTTACTGCAGATGATTCTATCAAATCATAACAGTAAGAAAATCAGAAAAAGAAAGCAAAAGGTCCACGTACACTCGGAGAAGCACATGGGTGATGACATTTTTAGCAGCTTAGGTGTCTTCTAGTTGAACAAGACGGAAAGGGATTCTATCCGGTTCACTTTTCATTTAATCCACTAAATTTGTGATCTAAACCGTTAAAATTTGATCCAACGATTACAAATAAGAAATCCTTTTAAAAGTTATAATAACGGTAGCTTTTTAATCAAATTTTAATAACCCGAATTCTAAACTTGATGGATTAGATGGAAAGGGAGACCTCCATCTTATTAAAATCCCACTATGGAGTCTTTTGATATGAGTCCAAAGTAACTAAAAATTAGACATATTTCAAAAGTCAAAAGTCACTAAAAATTAGACATATTTCAAAAGTAAGCCTATAAAATTGAAGCTATTTCGAATTTTCCCCTTATTTGTTTTCTTTACTTGCATCCACTTCAAGAGTGTACTATCTTTTGCCTCTCAAAATATGAATCGTACAAATATTATAAGTAGAACAAAGCATTTTTATTTAAATCGTAGTTTAGAGATTTATTTGAAATAAGATGGGTGATTTATCTTAAAATATATAAAGGTCGATTGTCCCTCGAGGTCTCCTTTTTATATAAAAGAAAAAATAACTATGAATATTCGTTAATAACAACTTAATGAAGAAGGTGAAACAACCCACATCGTTCAGGGAAGTGATCCTTAAATGTATATTCTCATCCCTACCTAGCACGAGGCCTTTTGGGAGCTCACTGACTTTGGGTTACGTATGAACTCCGAAGTTAAGCGAGAAGGAGGCCAGAGCACTCACAAGATGAGTGATCCACTGGGAAGTTGCTCGTGAATTCCCAAAAACAAAACTGTGAGGAAATGGTAAGCCCAAAGCGGACAATATCATGCTACGGTGGTGGAACGGGCCCATGATGTTCTGGACCCGGGCCGGGATGTGACAAAATGGTATCAGAGCCAATCTCTAGCCTGAAGTGTGCCGACGAATACGTCGGGCCCATAAGGGGGGTCGATTGTAACATCCCACATCGCCTAGGGGAGTGATCCTTAAATGTATATTTTCATCCCTACCTAGCGCGAGGCCTTTTGGGAGCTCATTAGCTTCGGGTTCCGTAGGAACTCTGAAGTTAAACGAGAAGGAGGCCATAGCACTTCCAGGATAGGTGAGTCACTGGGAAGTTGCTCGTGAGTTCCCAAAAACAAAACCTTGAGGGAATGGTTAGTCCAAAGCGGACAATATCGTGCTATGGTAGTGGAACGGGCCAGAGATGTGATGGACTCGGGCCATGATGTGACAGAAGGTGTACGTTAGTGGTTTTTTTTTTTTTTACAAAACAAACTTCACCAAGTTGATCGAACATAGGGTTCATTTAGGGGTGTTTACTAAACATTAGACAAAAGAATTACAGAGAGATTTTCTTAATCGTAACTGATTGAACAAGAAAGTGCACACTTAAGATGGACGCAGGTATTGTTTTAGATTGTTGTGTTTTCACTACAACAAAAATCAACTTGAAATGGAGGGCGTGGGTAATTAACAACGTGATCTAATTGTAATTAGATATTGAACTCGTCATCTATATGAATCAAATATGAAACCTTGTACAAGTAAAATTATATTGGCTTCTGATATTTAATTAATGGTGCTTGTTAATCACATAAACTAAACACAGATCTTGAATCCTGATTTATATTTAATAAGATAAGATTGCATGGAAAACGATAACCACTCGATTCCAACTTGATTTGGCGAGATCTTAATAAGACCGTGATTCTCGGCATTAGTGCTTTCAATCATCTAACTAGTGTCCAAATTACACGTAGAAAATTTAGGTCATGTACGTAATTCGTGGTAGCAGCAGTAACCATGTTTATTAACTTCATAAGTTTTTTTTAAATTTTTTTTTACTCTATTCTTTTTGTTGTACGGCTTCAGTGTCATGTGTACTATTCACTAATATAAAAAGAAAATTGGCAATTTGAGGCAAGTTTAATCATAAATGAGATGAGTTTATGAAGGATACTCATGTTCAACTTGCCATTGAACCCGGTCAAGACCCCCTTCCGAGGTCTGATTGTGCTCTTGAAGGCCATCTTTTGGATCATGAAAAATTGAAGAATGTTGACTTTGCTGTCATTGTCCATCATCACTCTACCGACCATGCCCAATTGGACATGGTTTACCAGGACGTCGTCATGGGAGAAGTCTACTCGTTCCGCGTCTTGTTTCGTAAAGCCGATGATCAGCTCTGGTAGTATAGCATCAACAGTTTGAACCGAAAAAACCGATCTCGCCTGCTGGATCTTCCTTCTCTTGGAACTGCTGGTTGCCCTAGATGTTCGTATATTTGTGATAAATTTGGATCACATATGTGAATAACCTCATAGTGGTAGCTCAACATTGTAACAAGTGTATTATTCAGTTATAAATGTACATGAGAATTGACAATATAGTGAGAGTATCTCAACTCCTTATAAGTCTTTGCAAAGTTTAATTTTTCTCTAATACGAGACTCCTTTCTTTACATTCATCCTATTGTTTGACATATACGTGTATCTAATGTTGCCTTGAGAGCAAGTCCACCGAGAGTGGATTGCCCATCACCTAGCACCCAAAACAGGACGGCACCTAGCCAAATCACACCACCCCAGCCCAAGCTAGGCAAGAAACCGGCCTAGAATCGACAGATCCAACAGTCGGGCCATTTGACGTGAGCAATCCCGTGCTCGGCGACTGCAACGGTGTTGGTCATGGAGGCGTTCACCACCAAGCACCCGAACTCAGTCGCCACAGCCAAATCCACGTTGTCGATGTCGACGCCAACTCTTCCCACAACCTTCAACCTCTCGCCAGAGGACTCAAACACCTCGCAGGTGACCTTGGTCTTGCTACGCATGATCAATGCGTCACAAAGCGAGATCTTAGTGCAGAGGAGCAGTCAGTGAACTGCTTTAGGAGGTTGATTCCGGGCTTGCTGGGCTTCTCTGAGACGAGGACGGTGGGCTTGGCGTCGCGGGTTGAGCTGGCGGTCATGCTAGAGGTGGCGGCAACCGTGGTGTTATTGTATGTATAGGGGTGTGTCAAGTGTATACATTGCTGGGTGTAATTTATAATAATATTTTATAAAAATATAAAAAATTAATAATATTTTTTTATAAAGTCAGAAATTAAAAATAAAATTATTATTTTATAATAAAAAATAATAATATTTTAATAAAATTGACTATGTTATTTTTTGTTAAGGATGAAGATGCATTTGGCTTATTACTATTCATGGACGTCTATTAA